ACGAGAAAGCATTAGCAACGCACAACAATGTATGCAGTGGTTCTATTTATATTACACCCGAAGGATGTTGGAAATTAGGTGGATTTGAATATCTTTGTAAATTTTCTGAAGCAACATCAACTTACTATCAAAAAATAAGAAATTATAGACATCAAAGATCAACTTGTTCGAATGAGGATATAAATGCATTAATTGATTCAGGAAATCTTTCTTCTATTGATGTTTATGCATTTGGAATATTAGCCGAAGATATTTTAAAATTGAAACATGCAGGTAAAAATTAAAATTACATCATAATTTTTAATAGATTTTAGATTGTAAGTGTTTATTGTAGATAATATACCAGCTTTAACTGAATTTCAAGAGTTTTGTAAGGAAAATCTACAAAACCAAGATGCATCTGTAAGATGTAAATTAACAGAAGTTCTTAAACATCCTTTTTTCACACATGATTTTATAAAAATACATGGTTTTCTTGAAGAATTACCTATAAAAACTAATGAAGAGAAAGAAACATTTTTTACGTAAGTTTCTTCAAACAATGATTAGATTTAAGAAATAACAAAATTAATTTACTTTCTTTTTTTATAGAAATTTGGTAAATGATTTAAAAGCTTTTCCTGAAGATGTTGTAGCTGAACAACTTGGTCGTTCTTTGTTGTCAAGAATAGTTTTATTAGATCAAACCGCACAAGTAAAATTTTTACCCTATGTATTAAAACCAAGAGGTAAAGATTTCTTGAAATTTTACTTTAAAATGTATTTAATATACTATATAAAAACAGAATTTAATTTAGAATATTTGATGAGATGCAATTTGCTAAACATAATAAATAGATCTATTTACTATTTATTTTATCCCTACTGGAAACATAATCTTTCCTTCAAAGATTTACTATTTTATTTTGTTAGATTTTACTATTTTCTAATAATTGAGAACTCTTACAGAATATAATAATTTTTTCTTCCTATGAATACCAAATGTATAACTTTTTTAAATTTCATTGTAATGTTACAGATGAAAATGATGATATAGAGAACAGTGTGTTTTCTACTCCAGTTTTTAAGACTTATTTAATACCCAGACTTTTGCAAATGTTTTGTATAAGAGATGTTTCTATTCGCTTATTACTTCTACTACATTTCAAATCGTATGTACATACATTTCAAACTGATGAATTGAGGTTACAAATCTTACCTGAATTATTAGTTGGAATAAAAGATACCAATGATCATCTTGTTTGTGCTACATTAAAGGCATTAGCTGAAGTAGTATCTATCTTAGGAGCAGCAACAGTAATTGGTGGAAAAAGAGCTAAGTTATTTACAGATGGACGACCAAATAAAATGAAAGAGCGAAAAGAAAATAATATTGCATCTACTACTAAAAATAATAACTCTGACACAATTGCTCCATTAGATATAAATGAAATAGAATTACATTTACCAGAACGTCTGTCTCCAGATGGCGGAGAAGATAAAAAAGAATCATCATTTGCATTTGTCGATGAAGAAAGTACTTGGTCTGACTGGGATTCGCATGATGCAAATATAGATTCTCACCAATCAAATGTACAAAATATGCAACAGATAACACAAATAATAACTCCAAATATGGAAAATGTATCGATTTCACCGTCAAGTATAACAAAAAATGAAGTAAATAAATACACACAAAAAATAGAAATGTCAGATATTTCTCAACTGGATATAAAACACTCAAAATCAATGAAGAGTATGGTAGATGATTATGATTTTTTCACGGATATGGAACCTATAATAAAAAAGACACGGGTCTTACATGTACAAGAGGAGAAAGAAATTTCATCCTTATGTTCGAAAAGCATATTTGACGTAAAACTATCTAATACAACGTTACAAGAATCTGAAGAGAATGGATGGAGTGAACACTTGGGTGACTGGGATATAGAAGATACTAAAGAATTAAGTTTTTAATTAGACCTTTTTAAGTTATAATAGAATGTTTGTTATTAATATATATAAAATAATACCTACATACCATCTAACTAAAAGCTTTTTAATTATTAAGTCTACAAATATTAATATGAAATTTATTTTTTTAAATGCGAATAATATATTACACAGATGTATGTATTTATTGTCAAAGTCAAATATCAACTTATCTCTATCAATTTGTTTAAATAAATAGCATATAGAAAAAAAAACATTATTTTTTTGTTTTTTTTTAAATTTTTTTTTTAATGAAAGATTTTATAAAATATTTAATAAAAATTCGTGCAGTATAAATTTTAAATTAATTCCATTTACCTTTAAAAATATGGTTGACAAGAATGATATATTTTCCAAATTGTAATATTTCGTAGAATACACTATTACAAAGTTTATACTTTTATAGCTTTTTACAATCGAATAGCTCATATAAAAATTAACTTAACAGCGTTTTAGTGTCATAATTAATAAAAAATAACACATATATGATTTAAATGAAAGTACATTCTTTAAACATCTTATTTAAAAACAATTACTTCACGACTCTGTCATAAATCGGAAAAAGCAAACATTTTAAAGAACAAAATCCCGGAATTGTTTTTAAATTTATATAAGTATTATAAATTTTGCCTATTGTTTTTTTATTTATAAGTAATTATAAAAATGAAAAAGAAATGATTAAATAATTCCTTGTTTCAAAATATTCATTGGGCTGACATCTTATATATATATATATATATATTATAACGTAGAGCGCATGTCATAAATGTTGTAGGTTAAGAGTGCATTAAAAAACTAACAGATAACTGTGTATATTTGTAGTGTAAATAAGCATTGGACAGTGTCTGCTTAATTGTCAAAAAATGATACACAGTCTTTTCATTATTAATTCTGCTGGGTACGTAAATAATTTAACTAGTGCAATTAGAGAGAGAGAGAGAGAAAGATTCCATATGACACGAATAAATTAATAAAAACAAATTTAATTTCTCATTCTTTTTATTTTTTACTTTACTTTTATATGACAGTAATAACATAGAAGAGTTTTTTTTAAATAGGGATGTGTTTATGGAAAAACATTGGAAAAGTGCCGTTGCACGATCATTGTGTGATTACTTTTTTGATCAACAACGAAGAGTTCTTTCTCTAGAAGATACACCACCTGTAATAGCTACACCACATCATTATCTTATTAGTATATACAGATGTAATATGTTTTTTGTAGCAGTATGCATGACAGAAGGTTAGTGTTAATTTTAATATTACCCATCTATCAAGAAAACTACAAATATTTATAGTATATAACTTAATAATTATATTTCAGTTCCACCATTATTTGTTATTGAATTTTTACATAGAGTAGTTGATACTTTTGAAGATTATTTCAGTGAGTGCACAGAATCTATTATTAAAGAAAATTATGTAGTGGTATATGAATTATTGGATGAGATGTTAGACAATGGGTTCCCACTGGCAACAGAGTCTAATATTTTGAAAGAATTGATTAAACCTCCGAATATTTTGCGTACCATTGCAAACACAGTTACAGGTAAATCAAAGTAAGTACAAATATTAATACTACAATATTATCGTCTCAAAATATTAAACTTTTAAGGCTTATCTTTTTTTATTCCACAATCATACAAAATGTGTATAGAATTGTATGTGAACACCGAAATGAAAAAACTATTCGAATAACTCTACTGTGTTACAAAAACGCTCAAAGAAATATATTTAGTTAATAAGTAATATTATATTATTCAGTGTAAGTGCAACATTACCAAGCAGTCAGCTATCTAACGTTCCATGGAGAAGAACTGGAGTTAAATATACAAATAATGAAGCTTATTTTGATGTTGTGGAAGAAGTAGATGCTATAATTGATAAAACTGGATCAACAGTTTTTGCAGAAATACAGGGCTATGTATGTATGATAACTTGTCTTTATGTTTTAAATTCAATATGATTTTCTGCCATTTATATTTCAGATTGATTGTTGCATAAAATTAAGTGGCATGCCAGATTTAACACTTTCTTTTATAAATCCAAGATTATTTGATGATGTCAGTTTTCATCCTTGTGTCAGATTCAAACGATGGGAGGTATAAACATATGATATTTGTTGTCAAATTGTTAATGAAATATAATTGTTATATTGATAGCATACATATATTTGTTTCATTTTAGTCAGAGAGAATATTGTCCTTTATTCCTCCGGATGGCAACTTTCGACTTCTTTCCTATCACATAGGATCACAAAATATTGTAGCAATTCCAATATATGTACGACATAACATTAGCCTTAAGGAACCTGGCGGAGGTAGATTAGATATAACTGTTGGACCGAAACAAACTATTGGCAGAACTGTAAGTTTTTGTTTTCAAAATAAGAACATTCAAGAAGTTACAATAAATCGTTCTTTTTTAGGTGGAAAATGTAGTGTTAGAAATTCCAATGCCAAAAATAGTATTAAATTGTACCTTAACACCAAATCAAGGAAAATATTCTTTTGACCCTGTTAGCAAGATATTACTTTGGGATATTGGAAGGATTGATGTTTCTAAATTACCGAATTTAAGAGGATCCGTGAGTTAAATAATAATAGAATATTCCCATGTTGTAAAATTATATTCGCAATTTATTTGTTACAGATCACCATTCAAAATTCTGCAGTCATAACGGAATCAAATCCAGCTATTAATGTATGTATTTTTTACTATATTATTTTCTTCTTCTTCTTATATATTATTTTGTTGACTCTTATTTAATAAATGTATATATTTTCATAGGTACGTTTTACTATAAATCAGCTAGCAGTTTCAGGATTAAAGGTAAATCGATTAGACATGTATGGAGAGAAATATAAACCTTTCAAAGGAGTTAAATATATTACTAAAGCTGGAAAATTCCAAATAAGAATGTAATTAAAATATGTAAATGTATAAGTTTAAAAGATACTTTTTTAAAAGATTGTAATAAATTATATGCTTCAACTTTGTAATATAAATATAAGAGAAGTTATTATATTAATTATTTTATTTTAAATAACAGAAAATATCAAATACGACTGAAATACACTTCAACTAGTGAAATACATATATATACTATACAAATATATACACATATATACAAATATATACAAATATTGTTTGTTATTTTAAGTTTTACATTTTTGACTTAATAAATTTCTAGCTTCTAAATCTTCCCATGTTGGATGTGTTGCATAGGTGTGTAAGCGTTCCATATTTGTAGCATAGATTGTATGATTACTGATAAGATTTTTATGGATCTATATAGTACAACAAAACATTAAAAATAATATGTACAATATAAAAAAATATAACATTAAATTAATTAAATTAACATATTAATTTTTAATTATATATTCAATACCTTTAATGTACGCTGTAAATCAGCTATATTAACTGGTTTCAAAGATGCAGATGTAGTTTGTAAAGAACATGCAAATGAAAAAGCAGTCGCTTGTTCAGCTTCTTCAAAATTTTGTCTTGTAACTGGAACTTGTCCATAAGGATCTATTACTTCTGTAGGACTATACAAAACAAATGTTATATATAAACAATGTGTATTTTATATGAAATATCTCATAATTACCTGTAATCAGATGATCGAATAATATAAGCTGTATTTCGTTTCCATGAACAAGGTACAGGATTTCCTATGCTATGAATAAATGATCCTTCTTTTACACTAAATTCTTTTCTTTTTGCTAGAATTGCAGTAAGTATATTCTTCACAAAAATCTGGGTTGCAGCAATAACAATATGGGCAGTATTTTCTTCTGCACCATCCATGTTATTTTCCCATGCAGCAAGCATGAGCCTAGCTAATACAAATGTTCGATCCGGTAATACAAGTTCTTGAGCACTAGATCTATTTGCTCCTATAGGTTCATCCCCAACTGGTGATGATGTTTGATTTAGTACCTCTGCATAAATATCTGCTGGCTAATCAAAAAAGAAGTTAAGAAATAAAATGGCACGTTCACATTTATATTGTATATTTAATTATATTTTTATCAAGTATAAAGCAACTAACCTCAAAGTTTGATTTATCAGTTTTATATTTACGTTTTAGCCTAAGTCTTTTTTCTTTAACAATCTTATCTTTATCTGTTTTACGATTTGGCATGGCTACAGCCAAACCTCTAACTTTGTTGAATAAACAAAGCAAAAATTCATTGTGCAAATGAACTTGGTCTTCTGTCATGATATTACGTGCCTCACAATCAAACTCTTCCTTTGTTGTCTAAAATTAAAATTGCTATCAAAATTATAAAATACTAGTAATACTTGTAATTAAAAACAGAACGTGTACCTTCATTTGAAACCAAAGCTTCATTTTTTCAAAATATCTGTCAATCAAACAAAACTATGAATAGCATACAACAAACAAATGCATTCGCACATTTAATTAAGTAAAAAATTAATTATATAAAACTTAACTAACACTTTTGCATTATCGCCCAATGAAGCTGCAAGATTCTTTCTGGCTAAACTTAAGTCTTTCTCTTTAGAAGTAGTCATTTTTAAATTAATGTTTAATCAATCCTCTTAATTTTATTGATATCTATTGTTATTGCAAGAATAATTAACTAAAGTCAAGTACGAAGAAGCCTTAGATACACTAATGTTAAAGTCAATAATTTCTTGTTATATAAACATGATGTATCTATAATTACACTATAATAACCACGTTAAGATTAAACATTTAGTAACATTTAATAGTTTACTTATCGTCTGAGGTGATTAATAACTACAAAACCGTTATTCCGTATAACACCCTTATTTCGGCTGTCGGTGCCGACTGCCGGTGTGTTTCACAATTTCGCGACGGTTAGGCCAATTTGCTCTACTGCACCTGTAGAAGTTTGACTTCAAAAAAATAAACCACTCGATAATGTAGCTAGTTACCGACCAATTAGCCTAAATTCAATATAGCTAGGTCACTAAATTTATTCTAATATAAGATAGATATAGCGTGTGTGGTAACAGTAATATTAGTATTTTAATATAATATATATTTTATAAATTTAGCATAAAAATTTAACTTATATGCATCAAAATATGCTTCTCACAATAGATCTCCTCGGTAGTATAGTGGTTAGTATCCCCGCCTGTCACGCGGGAGACCGGGGTTCGATTCCCCGCCGGGGAGTATAATTATTTTTTTTTTTATGTACTTTTATGTTTCATTGTTTTTATTATTTATAAATCCAATTAACTACCTGTATAACATTATTTGTAGGCTAAATATATATAAAATACCTTTTATCTCAATATTTTTTAAAGAGGTACGATTATTCTCTATCGCTTAGATAAATAGATTATTTTGCGGATTTTTTATAGAAATATGGTAAGTGCAAGGCAAAATTCATATAGATGACTTTATTATTCTCATTTTCAACACATTTACAAATTTTGCTAGTACAAGTTGTCGCAAAATGGTAGTGTCACAACTCACATCACAAAGGTTTACTCATATCGAGAATAATATTCCGAAAACTTCAATAATTTATAACCGATATACTTAAAATTTGTACTGGAGCTATATAATTATATTATCTAGGAAAGGACAATAGGAAATTTTAAAGAATGGTTCATTTATATTTTTAAATATTATATAACGGAAAGTGTTTATTTTTTTCATTTAGATAACAACAAATAATAGTATATATTAACAACTATACAAATATACAAAAAAGAATTAACTCTTTAAGTACTGCAATGTATATAAACATGTATATATGCATCCAATGGAATTTATTGGCATTAACTATGAAATCATATATGCGTTTGGTGAATGTATTTTAGCTTATATTGTCTAATGCATAAAAATAAAACAAGAATAGCTATTGTATTGTGCAAAGTTTATAATAGAATTTTGAGAACTGAAACTTTAGACTTTCATTTTTATAACTGTATTCTTAATATACATTAAAGAACCTTTAGGTACTATGCATATATGATCTATTTCTTAAAGATTTAATAGAAAAAAATAAATATTCATATTTTTGTGTTATTAACATTTTGTAAACTATGAGTGAGCTTTCAAGATTTTAATTTTTCAATTTTTTAATGAATAATGTGGAGCAATCCAACTTGCCAGTAAAGTACCCAATACAAGTTGTGCTACAGGTAGAATTGAAAGCGGTAAATTAATTGCTGGTCCCTGAGCAGATCCATGATATGTACTTCGTAAAATCCAGCTTCCAAGACCAACTGATTTATGAGTACTAACAAATAATGCTGCTAGAAGAATATTTCTAGGTAACCATCGAGAAGATAAACCCCAATATAAACAGCATGTGAAGAGCTGTCCAATACAAGCTGGAATAAAAATAAAGATCACAATGGAAAAATGAAAGAATGAAAGGTAGATAGACATGGTTAAGAAAAAGAGGAGAAGTAAAGGAAGTCATGGAAATACAGCGGAAGCGAATATTTAAGAGAGATGGAGGAGAGTAGCATGATAAGGAATACTTAATAATGATTTTAATATATAACATAAATTATAATTTAAAGAATAACATACCAATTAGTATACATAATAATATGTCCGTAGCTTGCAAAGATGAAACATCTGCAGAAACTGCATCAGAAAACCAATAATATGCTATGACTAATAGTAATCCTTGAGAATATCTTCCAATACCAATTATGGAGCAAACATTAGGGTTTACTACAGAAAACTGTAATATCATTCCAATAGACAGAGGTAACAAAGTACTATATATAATCTCCTTAACATTAACACCAATTAAAGGTGGAGTAGATGCTCCTAACTGTAATATAGAGAATGCATTTATATTTTAAGAATTATGATTTTTTATTCGCGCGTTTTAGAAATATGATAATTAATAGTATATAATTATATTATATTATATAATTATAGAATTGTAAAATTTAAAAAAAAATCGAAATAAAAAATAAATTTATAAAAATATAATTTACCACAAAATATAAAAGAATCGGAGATAAGAAAAATCCTCCCAAATGTCCTATTAACGTAGTAACCACACTAGTTGGTAGGTCAGCTTGTGCTATCTGACAAAGTGCTAGACTGGAAGTAAATGGTGGTGGCATACAATAAAGTACCTGAAAAAAATATATTGTTTCATTCATATTAAGCTTCTACTTATAATATATTTTATATTTTATTTTATATGACTAAAGCAATATTATTTTACAATAATGAAATATCATTATATATGATAAACAAAAATAATAATGACAATAATAATAGTAGAAATAATGACTATGATAATAATACTAATAATAATAATAATAATAACAACAATAATAATAATAATTATCTTAATTACTTCACTCGTTTCAATATGCACTTATTCCGTGATGTAATATATGGATTTTTATAAATAAATAGTGCATATACTAGGTGAAATTTGTCATGCCAGATTATATAATGTGCATGCAAGTCGATGAACTTCATTGATATTTACTTCCATTCCTTTAAGAAGCCATATGTTTACTTTAGAATATAATAATAAACATGTCCCAAGCTTAGCTAAAAAGGGCATCACACCATACATAAAAACCATCACAAATATTATCAGGTAACCATTTGTTAACGCCACATAGAGAGAATGTGGAGTACATAATAATCCTGCTTCTAAATATGTTAGTGGCACCGCAAAATACCAGACCATAAAATTACCACTTGCTATACCTATAAAGTAACATAATATATAATATAAAATTAATTTACAGTAATTAATCTAATCTAATATTAATTTAGTCAAAATTTGTATTGTTTATATATGTTAATAAGCTAATAATCTAATTTATACAGATTAGAAACAATGAAACTTATTATAGAAGTATCTCTTCTACTATATCCTTTCTTTTATCCCTACACATGCACTACTTCAAAAGATTCAAATATGCCTGTTTCCTGTTTATACTCAAATAAGAATAAACATATTTTTATCAAATATATAAATAAAAATAACTATCGATAAAATGTTATTATTTATAAATCCATACCGATTGTACCCCCTAAATATGGTTGTATAGTAGCAAATAACATACAAAGAAGCATTGAGAAGAAAAAGCTATATCTCTGAAATAATTTCTTTTTCTTTTTCTGTTGCATTGTTATATTTTGTTTATAATGCAAATGCATCATTATTTGTTATAAATTAGCTTCAAATGGGTGTTTAAGCCTAAAACATAAATGTATCTATATCACGCAACTATAATTTATAAATATAGTTAAAATTAAAATCATATTTATAATTATAAATTGTTCAAGTTTTTAATTATTATTTCAAAAATTATAATATATGTAAATTCTTTTTTTTCTCTTAACTGTTACCTTATTACTTTATTATCTATGATGAGTTAAGAATAGTAAAATAATTGTTTATAATAAGGACAATTAAACCAACACAACCCGAAATTTTTTGTCAGAATTCATACAAAATCATCAACAAAATATCTTATTATAACACACAGACACAGAAGTACTTAGAAACTCACAAGTCTACTTTTCGCGTAACTAAAATCATCTTAGTTAGTACTAGGACCACCAGTAGGCAAGAGTAGGTAATTGACCCGATGACGGTACAATATTATCAAAGAATACAATTCTGATGGTACAACACCATAGAAAAGTTGGCATAGAACCTCAACAGCGGAAAAAAATAAATAAGTATTCTTAATTGTTCACTAATTCCTCAATCAAAATCCAACTTTTCTGTCCTCATATATATTTATATATAAATACATTTGGTTTGTTTTAATTGAAAAATACTTTTTTAATAGTTAGGTAGCATTTATAATTGTTGAAGAACAAGATAATTACATATTGTACAGTACATTTTAAAATGATAAATATTTAATAGAATAGAGACAACGTTGATTTATTGAAATAATAAAAGTAAAGTGAATAAATAAGTATTAAAATACTGTGATGACTTTATCAATGGATATGTATATTTAAACGTATAATAATATCAGAGAACGTTACAAAATTTATTTCCAATAATTCATATAAAACTTAATAGTACTATATAAGTACATTATAAAATAATATTATTTTTTCTATGTGTATACAAGTATTCGTACATCTATGTGATTATAGGAAAATTAACGAAAAAAAATTTATATATGTCAGCTAAGTTACATAGTATGTCATAGCTATTAAGTGTATTCGTCGTATTCTAATATACATATATATTCATTGAAAATTTA